ATAATAGAGAAATTTAAATTTAAAGAAAGAAAATTTAAATTTAAATAAGAATAAATTTAAATTTAAAAGAAAGTAAAATATAACTATTAAAATTTTAAAAGTGAATGAAATCTCACCATTAAGATTTGATTTGAGAGTAATGCTAGATAGACTTAAAAAATAAACTCGATAATCTCGACCATTGAATAGGTAGTGAATCTCAATAAATGATGGAACCCACAATGAAATCAATGGTTGAGATTATCAAGTTTAATTTTTAAGTCCATGTAGCACTGCTCTTGATTTGAATATGAATTTGACTAATGAATCTTTAAAATGTAAATGAAATCTCGCTATTACCATTTGAGTCTTAAAAAAAGAGTCTTTCTTAATTTCATATGGGCATAAATCTTGGAGAAAAATTCAAAAATGATAAATATGAGAGATGCTCTTATATCTATCTCATTCTTTGGTGTAAATTAATAAAAGGATTAATTGCGGCTGTGGTCCCTAAAGTATTTATGTTGTCTTATTTTGGTCCCCAACCTTCTAATTTCATCAAATTGATCCCCAAAGTATTACATTTGCATTTACCTAGTCCCCGCCGTTGAAGCCGTCCAAATTTTCGTCTATTTATAGTCATGTGCCATCCACATGACCTAGCTGAGGGGCTATAATATCATTTGCCCCTCCTCCTATTATTGGAGGAAAGATGATCAGGAGACTTTTCGATGTCTTCATTTACTTGTTTTGCAAACCAAAGCTTCAGTTGGGCAAATCCCGATTAGGGCAAACACACGATCACCATTAGGGCAAAGAAGAAGACCATTAGGGCAAAGCACAAAGAAGGTACATTCCAAACGACGAAAGACTGGAAATCAATATGCAGATGAAGACATTCCTCATTATGGTATGTACTCATTCTTATAGATTTAAGTCTAAGGTTCATGGGTAAGAATGATTTGTAAAAGTCGGTATTCAATATTATATAGTTTATGTGTTTGTTCGAAACCATGTGTTTATGCATTGGAAACTCTTTGTTAATAGTTTGTATAAGTTGCAATTTTTTTAAGTTGATGTGGTCCTTGAAAACTATTGTTTATGCATTGGAAACTGTTCAGTGATAGTTAATGTGTTAGTTGCAATAGTTTATAGTTGATGTGGTTATTGAACAGGATCTTATTATACAACAGTCACAATGGAGAATCATCAGGTTGATGGTGATGTCTCAGTTGATAAAGGGAAAAGGGTAGTATCACAGTCTGATGCATCAGACAGTGAATACGAACCTGATTGTGAATCTAGTGAGTATGATACGTTGGTTGACAGTGATTATGAAAGTGAGAATGATAACATGTTGTATGATAGTTATGTTGATAATGAAGCTGAATGGATTGGTTTGAATAGTAATAGACAGAAAGAATCAGCAACAGACAAAAGGCAACAGTTAGAACTCAGTTATACAGATGGTGATTCTGAAGAGATTTTAAGTTGCTTCAGTTCATCTGATGGAGAGAATCATGCAACAAAACATAAAAAATTTAAAGTTTTTAGGGCAAAAAATGATGAGGAAGACCCACATTTTAAACTGGGTTTGTTATTTAGTACATCTGAGGAGATCAAGAATATCATTAGACAACATGCTATCAAACATCAGAGAAATGTGAAATTAGTAAAAAATGATAAGAGGAGGGTGAGGGCAAAATGTGAAGGGGGCTGCAGTTGGCTGGTTTATGCTTGTAGAGTGCATGGTGAGAAACTATACCAAATAAAGACATACATTGGTAAACATACATGTGGGAAAACTTATAATAATAGAAATGTCACCTCAAAGATGATAGCATTGAAGTATATGGATGACATAAGGGCCAACCCTTGTTGGCCTATAAAGGCTTTTAAAAAGAGAGTTAGGAGAGATTTTCATGTTGATGTATCAAGGAATCAATTGTATAGAGCAAAGAAAAGGGCAATGTTGTTGATACATGGTGATGAAATTGAACAATATGATAGATTGTGGGATTATTGTGAGGAACTAAGGAGGACTAACCCTGGTTCCACAATTATCTTGGATGCACCTGGTGATGAGGAAAATGGTGAACTTATATTTCAGAGGTTTTATGTATGTCTTGCAGCATGTAAGAGTGGATTTCTTAAAGGGTGTAGGAAAGTGATTGGATTAGATGGTTGCCACCTGAAAGGGGCATATAGTGGACAATTGTTGACAGTTGTTGGGATTGATGCCAATGATTCTATGTTTCCCATTGCCTACTGTATTGTTGAGATTGAGATGAAAGAATCATGGGCATGGTTCTTAACAGTACTATTCACTGACTTAGGCATAACTGATCAAAACCAAGAGCAGTGAACCTTCATCACTAACAGACAGAAGGTATGTTTGGATGTTTATTTATTTATCAATTTCTATTAACTGTACTATGCATGTTTAATTATTGTATATTCTGTGCAGGGTTTGCTTCCAGCATTGACTGAGAAAGTACCAGCATCTGAGCATAGGCATTGTGCTAGGCACATGCTAAACAATTTCATTAAACACTTTAAGGGATTGAGTATTAGGAAGAAATTTTGGAAATGTGCTAGGGCAACTTATGTTTCAGAATTTGACTATGGGATGCAAATGGTGAAAGAAGAAGATGAGAAGGCATTTGATTGGTTGGTCAATGAGCCACCAAGGTATTAGAGTAGGTCATATTTCAGAGAAGAACCTAAGTGTGATATTTTGTTAAACAATCTATGTAAAAGCTTTAATGGGGCAATTATAGAGGCAAGGGATAAACCCATCATAGAAATGGTAGAATGGATTAGATGCTATTTAACTCAAAGAATGTTGAAAAGGAGAAAATGGGTTAGGAATTGGCATGGTGATATATACCCTAAGATTCAAAAGAGATTAGAGAAATGGAAAAGTGGTAGCTTTGATTGTATTGCTAAGTGGCATGGTGAGTTGAAGTTTGAGGTAAGGTGTATGAATGGAGACCAATACACAGTTGATTTGAAAGAGTAGTCTTGCTCATGTAGGAAATGAGACTTGACAGAGATCTCATGCCCACCATTGCCTCCATTGATCAGGAGACAACTTGGTAGGCCAAAAAAATTACGGAGGAAGGAACCAGATGAGTTGATTAATAAAAGACAACCACACAGGTTGATGAAATATGAAAATGTGTCAGTTAATTGTAGGAGATGTGGTCAAAATGGGCATAACAGGAGGACTTGTACTATTACAATGCCAGAAGGAAACCAAGGTGAAGTGAGCCAATTTGTTGTGAGCCAAGGTGAAAGGAGCCAAGCTGCTGTTATCCAAGCTGGAGTGAGTTAACCTGCTGTGAGCCAATCTGATGTGAGCCAAGGTGGAGGGAGCCAAGCTGTTGTTATCCAAGCTGGAGTGAGTCAACCTGCTGTGAGCCAAGGTGGAGGGATCCAAGCTACTGTTATCCAAGCTGGAGTGAGTCAATCTGCTGTGAGCCAAGGTGGAGGGAGCCAAGCTGCTGTGAAAGGAAGGTCTTGCTTTGAACAGGTAAATAATTTCATTGAACTTTTTGGCAAGTAGTAAACAATTTCATTGAAAAATATTGGCTCATATCTTTCCTTTTTTTTCTATATAGCTTCAAGGTTCAACCATTGGTTCACCATCAACAAGCACCTATAACTTCAAGGTTCAACCATTGGTTCGTACGCGAAGGGATAAAATACCATTCAGGAGGAGCAAATGAACAAGCACCCATGCAGCTTCTCTCTCTCTTTTTTTTTTTTTTGGAGCCAATGTAAATGTGTTGCTCTCTTTTGGGTTTGTGATGAGAGTCTAAATCTGGCTTATATGTAAATGTGTTGCTATCTTTTGGGTTGATGATGTAAATGTATTCTTTCTTACTCTCATTTTGAGTTTGTACTGAGAGACGAACTTGTTATTATGGACATCTTTTTGTCACAACTAACAGGTTGTTACCTTAATGAAAATCATGGGCTGTGGCTTTTCTGCATTGGTAGTAGTCATGATTAATCGAAAATGACATGGGAGCAAACAGGCCACATTCAAACTCATAAGTTCGCGACTATTGAAAAATACCTAACACTTAACAGATAGTTTTGATGTAAACAGGTTGTTACACTTCCAATTACATCAAACATAATAATTACATTTACATAAAATACCATTTTCACAAGGCACCATCCTACTCAAAAACAGAGCACCCTCTTACACAAAAACAGGGCACCCTCCACAAACAAATAGGGCACTACTACCTACAGGAAATGCCACACCCAAGTGAAAATAAAAAATGTCCAAGAACAGAATAGAGCAGCCCATAATAATTTTTCCCTAACTTTTGCCTTTTGTTGTTGGTTCTCCTGTCTTTGCTTTGATCGCAACAATTTGGGTATCACTTGCTTCGCTCTATCGTACATTGGCGGATCATACCAACCAAAAAATCCACACCCTCCAGTCTCCTACAAATGCAACATTTTGTTAAATGCATTCAAAATAGAAAACTCAGTAACAAAATCCAGAACATTTTGTTACCTCGTATCTTTCACATCCAATAAACCTTCTTCCTGGGTTGGTATCAGTCCATGAGGTCCTCAGTTTGGCTATTTTTCTACAGCGGCATGGTGTTGCTAGCATTACAGTCGCTACTACCTTTCCTTCCCTTCCTTTCCCCTCATTTTCTCTTCTCCTATGCTTTGTAACAGACAATGAGTCTTGTAGATATACTTGATGGCGGGAATGTTTCCCTCCAGGAGGAGGGTAAATGATATTATAGCCCCTCAGCTGGGTCATGTGGATGACACATGACTATGAATAGACGGAAATCTGGACAGCTTCAACTGCGGGACTAGGTAAGTGCAAATGTAGTACTTTGGGGGTCAATTTGATGAAATTAGAAGATTGAGGACCAAAATAAGACAACATAAATACTTGGGGGACCACAGCCGCAATTAATACTTAATAAAAACTATAGATCCGTTACTTTCCTTTCCTTAGCGTTCGTCTTAGGTTTCTAAAATATCGTCTGTTCTCTCCACCTGATCATCGTACTAAAGGTAGCAAACAACAATAAGTTGCGACTCAGTTTTCCATTAATATCTTTATATTTTCATCCCTTATTTTTATCTGTTTTTTCTTACTATGATTTCGATTCTTTTACATCTTTATTATAAGCCTTGTTACTTACAACACCCTCAAGCTTTACTCTGTTTTCTCATATGGGAATTCGTAGTATCTGATCTTGGTGTTTTGACGATTTGGGTGGCTTCGATATTTGTAAAAGATTGAATCTTTTGGGGGGGTTTGGTTTTAGTTTAACTATTGGACTGATTGCAGTAGAAGTAGCTTATTCTAAAAACACGGCAGGTGGGTGATGGTTTGGTTGATTCTACCATGTAAAGGTTTAGGTTTCTCGAAGACATGTCTCTTGGGTTTCATCTCCTCTTCTGCCGTCACTACCCAATCCCCTTTTATCTCACTTGAATTTCTGTTTCTTAATTTTCTGGTCTTGTGGCGGGAAAAAGATATTTCGAAGATTTATATCTGGTTTTGGTAGATGTAATATTTCTAAGTTTTTCTTTTGTCTTTCTATGATCTTTTTGGAAAGTAAAATAGGAGGTTTCATAAGAGTAACCTCTGTCATTATCTGAGACAGATTTTTTTTTGGGGGATAAATTGCCGATTGTATTAATAGTCAATTTTCATCGTAATGTTGTTTCTTCCCCTTTTCCCTTTTGGATTGTTTAGCTAACTAGAAGTACTACACCTGCTCTCAGTGCTGTTTTTGCTTTCACAAGCATGAGAAGTACTTGCAATGTGCTATCTGTACAGTGTCTTATTGTCGTCTTTTATCCAGAATTCGACTTTATAAACTATCCATATATCCTCCATCCGCGCTATGAACATTAGAGAAATCAACTTTTTATGATAGTTTATCAGTTGAGTTTGGAAAACAGTGATTAATATACTCTTTATCTCTATCGTCCCACCTCTCAAACCAGCCCTTTTTCCATCTCGTAGTGTTTTAAGGTTAAAGGCAGTGTTGACTCTGGTAATTTGGTATGTGGGTCATGTGAGTTGTGAAGCTAACAAGCAGCTCACATTATGCTGTCTGTTTGTCAAATTGCAGCTTCAGGTATCATCTCGTGTTAGTTCTGTTGGGCAATCAGTTTAGAATATTTGCAGATGTAGGCAATGCTATAGTTTTGAGGTTTGCTCCATTTTTATAGAGCTCCCTCTAGGAGCCAAGCTTCTCGTGTGGTATTTGCTTTCTTTCATGCTTCAGACTTTGAACAGTAATGTTCTGAATTCTGAATGTCCGGATTTTGTTTATCTTATTAGGTAACACTTAGGAAGAATTTATCAGTTGTTGTGTTATTTATTGCCAGTAAATTATCATAGTTTGATTATTCATTGCCCTCACAGACTCACATAATGCTGCCTTTTGTTGTTACCTTTTTATTGAATATGCTGAAAGCTGACTTGTCAACCTTTTTTAAGAGTGTTAAGCAAAACAAGCAAGAGGTTAATTTTTTCAGTCGCAACAGAAACATTTCTGAAGCAAGTTGAAGAATCCAAGATGGACGTACCACAAGAAATCTTTCTAAAAGATTACAAATTGCCTGATTACTACTTTGATACAGTAAATATGTACTTTGTAAACTTAAATACATATTGCTGGGTTGTTTGGATATATCACACCAGTTTATGTTCTTTTGTGCTTATGGAATTACTACTTAGGTGGATTTGAAATTTTCACTGGGTGAGGAGAAAACAATTGTGTGCTCCAACATAAGTCTCTACCCCAGGGTCAAAGGTAATATTGTAACCCTTCTTGGTCTTCATAGTATTTCATGTCATTTGGGTGGCATGCCCTTTTGAATATTTCCGGAGCAATTTTCGTCATAACTGTACATAACTATTCTAATATTGTATACTCATTCTGATCTGTAGAATATAGCGGCTGAGCCAGGAATGTATATGGGTGGGCACTTTACGAGTTTATGTACAATTTTTAATTTTTTTCTTCCAATTGATTAAAGTAAATGAATACATAGTAAATTTTTTAAATTATATTTTATAAGTAAAAATTCATTAAATGATATACATTGATTATAAAAACAAAAATCTAAAAAAATATTCTAATTAGACCACTTTACAAAAAATGAGATTGACTGTAGTCATTTACTATTGATCCAAACGAGTTTACATATTATGAAAGTGTTGCTTAATAACTTTATTATCAATGCAACTGAAAAATGTCCTTTAGTTCATCCCCATTTACATCATATGATTTCATTGCTGTCTATAGACTCTATACAAATCATGAAAAAAAATCGATTTAAAATGCATAAAAAATGAAATTAGGGCACAAAAACCCCAACAGAAATTAAGACCTAATTGATAATTTAACCAGCCCAAAAATCATAGTTGAATAACTTGTGGTCATATTTGTGTTTAAAAAAAAATGCAAAATTTTCAAATCAAAGACTCATATATGGAAGGTCGTAGTCTCGCTAGCACCTTAGTTGACATAGACAGACCATAGAGGGAAGGTCAGTGGACACTGACCCCAGAGGATCAAAATCGTCGAGCCTAGCAGTCCCTTGCAGTTAGTTCGTTGCTCTTTTTTATCATTTTTATTGGTTCTTCATTGGAATCCTTGTCTTAAGTTCATTGATTTTTTTTCATGTGAGGGCTGAGTTAGGATGAATGAGGGTTAGACTTCAGTTCAACCCACTGCTTCATTTGTGTCTTGGCTATGGGTGGGCCCAGCATTTTTTTTGTATTTGTTGTAAGGGTACAACTTGAGTCTCTTAACTAATATACATAATGAATGCATAGGTAATGAAAAAAAAAATTCCAGGGTGGGCCAGGACCCCCCCCCCCCCCCCCTTGGGGCCTAGCAGCTCCACCCATGTGTAGAAATAACATTATTGTAAGGTGTCCAACTTCTTCCTTAAATTGACCTCCAAATTATCTTTCAGAAATGTTTTTTCAATTTGAAAACAGGTTGTTCTTCGCCATTAGTTTTGGATGGGCAAGATCTGAAGCTGATTTCAGTTAAAGTCAACGAGAAGGAGCTGAAGGTCTGTAATGAGTACGGTGTCCTTTTAAAAGTTCACGGTCTTAATGCTTCAAAAACTCTACAATGCAATCGTTTCTTGAAGAGTTGTTGCTTATTCTTTCCTTCCCTAACTAGAAGATAGATTTTTAGAAGTTCAATCATTTCTTGAAGAGTTGTTGCCTAACTAGAAGATAGATTTTTAGAAGTTCAATCTGTCTGTTGAAGTTTAGTGGATTTTTTGAATTCAAAATTTTCAGGTTTGTTTTCTTTATGCATTTGGGTTTCCCAATTGTTTATTCGTAATGCTTTTAGGAGGAAAATTTCATCTTGGACTCACGCCATCTGACACTCCCATTCCCTCCAAGTGGCAAGTTTACACTGGAAATTGTTAATGAGATATGTCCACAGAAAAACACTTCTTTAGAGGTAAAAAATCACCTTCATTAACAATCCTTCTTTTCTGATCTCTTTTTCTTGTTTCATGCTTACATCTGCATTGTCTTTACAACGGGAATTTTACTTTCTTCAGGGGCTTTACAAGTCATCTCAGAATTTCTGTACACAATGTGAAGCAGAGGGTTTCCATAAAATTACATTTTTTCAGGTTCATTTTTGAAGCAGTAATCAATTCGAGATGCTTTTCTGAATTACTGATGATTTTTATTTGCACTACCAGGATCGTCCTGATATCGTGGCAAAATACACCTGTCGCATTGAAGCTGACAAATTACTGTACCCGGTACTATTGTGTAATGGAAATCTCATAGAGCAAGGCGACCTAGAGGTGAACTCCACTGCTGAATACTTGGAGAGAATTTTGATATATGCTCTTACAGCAACTTTTAAAACTCTGTTCCATCACAGGGATGCAAACATTATGCCCTTTGGGAGGATCCATTCAAGAAACCTTGCTATCTTTTTGCTTTAGTTGCTGGACAGTTAGAGAGCAGAGATGACACATTTACAACTCGTTCTGGCCGGAAGGTGTCACTTAGAATTTGGACCCCCGCAGAGGATCTGCCTAAGACTGCTCATGCCATGTATTCTCTCAAAGCGGCAATGAAGTGGGATGAAGATGTCAGTTTCTGTACTTTAGATGGTCTGATGGATTCAGTTAATTTACCTATATGATCTTGACACCAGGATTTCTTGTCTTTTCTGTGAAACCAGGTTTTTGGTCTTGAATATGACCTGGATCTCTTCAATATTGTTGCAGTTCCAGATTTTAACATGTTAGTTGCTATTTTTTTTCTCTCCCCCCGGCCCTCCGAGAGACTGGGTTGTTGGGGTTTGTCTACTTTTACTTTATACTTCTGATTCTGTTTACTTACTAATTTCCAGGGGCGCCATGGAGAACAAGAGTTTGAATGTATGTTTCCGTAAAATCCTTTAATCTATCTCATGCTCCCCTCCCCCCCAAAAAAACAAAACCGGCCCCCTCCCATTCTCTTTTGTATCTCGCATTTCCATTTTCCTAAGATTTAGTCCGACATTGTTGTCAACAGATTTTCAATTCCAAGCTTGTTTTGGCATCTCCAGAAACTGCTACAGATGCAGATTATGCTGCAATTTTGGGTGTTATTGGCCATGAGGTATATCATCTAGTTTATAAAGGGCGTGAAGGATATTTGTACAATTATGTTGAATTTGTAATGATTTCTGCTTCATTTTGGTCTGTATTGCAGTACTTCCACAACTGGACAGGCAACAGGTTGGCTAACTTCTCCTAGTTGTGGTTGAAATATTTAAATTTGGAGTTCGTTTGTATAATAATTTGAAATCTTTGTCTGCTACTTTCCACTGTGTGCTTGCGGCTGTCTTATTTTTCAATTTTTCAAAATTTTCTGTGCGCATGAAACATTTTGATTATTGTTGTATTCATTTTGGGCGGATGTATTTTTTTCTTTCTAAATGTCAAAGTCAAGCCTAACTACATAGCTTAATTTTTGTAGGGTGACATGTCGTGACTGGTTCCAACTTAGCCTAAAGGAAGGTCTAACTGTCTTCCGTGACCAGGTATAAATATGTTTTTTGGATGACAGGAGAGTTGCGAATACAATTATTGTTGTTTGCCTGAGCTCATGAATCTCTAATTAGCTATTCAAGTGGCAGGAATTTTCATCTGACATGGGGAGCCGTACAGTAAAGCGTATTGCCGATGTTTCAAGGCTTCGTAATTATCAATTTCTGCAGGTTTACTATTTTAGAACTTCTAAAGTCATATTGATAGTGTTATGTTATTCTTTTACCCCTCTGAAGCATCCTGTATGTCACATTAGTTGCTCAGACGGTGAGCCGTTTGAAACTTGGAACCATTTACATGGTTAATAATTCAATATCATGCTCTACTAGCTGGCTGTGCAGAGATCATTTTAATTATGGAATGACGTTCATCATGTTGCAGTTAGTTATTAAGATTCTTCTTGATCTTCTAGGATGCTGGTCCCATGGCTCATCCTGTACGACCTCACTTTTACATTAAGGTCTGACACCAGTTCATTCTTTTGATAGCTCCTCTTGAAGGCTATACTTTTAAGCTTTTTTAACTGTTTGATTGGGAATCACTCTTGTATTGTTTCAATTTTTTTCCTTCACAGATGGACAACTTCTACACAGGCAAGTCTCTGATTTATAAAATATTAGGTCTTCAATTTGTTATATCGCTTAAAGCTACAAGTTTATACTTGCATGTTGTTTTGGTGACTTGAAAATTATATCTCACTTCTCTGTTATGTTGGAGATGATCGTTAAACTGGTGTATTCACTCGCCTCAACTTGCAGCAACAGTAGGGCTTTGCATTTTTTTCTTCTTACACCCATTTCTGGTCTCATTTAGAGTAATATCTAATCGTTGGTTATTTTTCCTTGTTTGCTTCATTTTCTTGTTTACAGGTGTATCAGAAGGTTTGAATCTCTCTCTCTCTGTGAGAGTTGGTGTCTTTGCATATGCACACTCCTGCGTGCATTTGTAGGAGATTTTTTGTTTCTCATCAAGTTCCACTTTTTTTATTCTTTTTATCAGGGAGCTGAAGTTGTCAGGATGTACAAAACTTTGCTGGGGAGTGGAGGATTCAGAAAAGTGAGAAAGGGTTCATTCCTAAACCTGAAACTGAGGCACATATAATGATTATTGTTGTCAACACAGGCCATGTCATAAATGTTTTTTCTTCACATTTTAGGGCATGGATTTATATTTCAAGCGGCATGATGGGCAAGCTGTAACATGTGAAGATTTCTTTGCTGCCATGTGAGATGCAAATGATGCAGAATTCTCTAATTTCTTGTCATGGTATGTCATCGTCCTGTCTTTTTTCTTGTAATTTCCTATCTGTTTTTATTTTTTTGGATGCTGATGTTTTTTAATAAAACAAAAATACAGGTACTCCCAAGCTGGGACCCCTCTTGTGAAGGTTGTTTCTAATTACGATGCTGAAGCTAAATCATACTCTCTGACGTTTAGGTGGATTCTAAGCTTTTTGTTTCATGGTTTTCTGCCTGTCTGCTTGTTTGGCTTAATAATTTGAATTTGATTTGCCTTTTTCACAGTCAAGAGGTCCCACCAACTCCAGGGCAGGCAGTGAAAGAGCCCATGTTCATTCCAGTTGCAGTAGGTCTGCTGGACTTGGGCGGCAATGACATACCTCTCTCCTCTGTGTATCATGACCGGAAGTTGGCGTCTATTGCAAGCAAAGATCAGCCTGTCTACACTACTGTTCTTAAAGTAACAAAGGTCAGTTCAGCACTTGTACGTGGTGTTACTGTAGGTCCATGTTCCCTTTTCCGGGCAACTGGTAACCTTGATGGTTGATGTGTAATTGGGTTATTAGTATTAGTACCTAGAAACTTTGCAGATCAGTTTGAGTGTTTAATTTTTGGCAAACTCCTTCAGGAACTAATCCTGCTTCTGAAATAGTCAGAACTGACGGCAAACATGGAAAATAAATTGGTTGGTTGGTTTTTGTTGGTCCAATATTTTTGCCATATGCATGGCCAATACGCAAAATGGAAAGAGTAGAAGATGGGACAGTTGTATAGGTGGGGAAGGAACTTTCTTGTGAGACTGATGTGAAGTTAGAGACAACCATCCTTCCTTGAGATCACTACTTGTATTCTTGTCAATGTTAGAAAAATCTTCCTTCGTCCATCACATTATAGAAATCCATGTGATACGTAGTTATTTACTTAGATGTATGCTGGTGATGAAATAAAATCTCATTGGGCTGTGAATCCAGTGAGTGTGATGTCATATTGGTGTGAGATAGGCTCCTTAAGTATTATGGCTGACATGTAGTTAGAAGATAACATTCATATCATATGAATGGGCCTCGATGCTGCCATATAGATTCAAGATAATATTTGTATGAATAGGCCTTGATGCCTCCTGAGTAGTTAATCCAAAGAAATATGTCTTTGCTCTGCTATCTTGTCTCTGATGATAGTTTTTGCTCTATCGTGTCTTTAGTGATAATAGAATCTTGTTTGTAATAAGCAGAAAGAAGAAGAGTTTGTGTTTCCTGATGTACCTGAGTGGCCAATTCCATCTCTTCAGTATTATGGCTGACATTTAGTTTGAAGATAACATTAATATGAATGGGCCTTGATGCTGCCACATAGATTCAAGATAATATTTGTATGAATAGACCTTGATGCCTCCTGAGTAGTTAATCCAAAGAAATAGTTTTTGCTCTATTGTGTCTTTAGTGATAATAGAAACTTGTTTGTAATAAGCAGAAAGAAGAAGAATTTGTGTTTCCTGATGTACCTGAGCGGCCAATTCCGTCTCTGTTACGAGGCTACAGCGCTCCTATCCGTCTTGATTCCGACCTCACTGTAAATGATCTATTTTTCCTCCTTGCTCATGATTCAGATGAGTTCAGTCAGTATGTATTTCAGAAACGAGATCTAACTCATCATCCAGTTGAGCAAATAGTTGCAATTTGTAACGGTTCCTTTTTAATGCTTTAGTTGGGAAGCGGGACAGACATTGGCAAGGAAGCTGATGCTCAGCCTATTGGCTGATTTCCAGCAAAGCAAGCCACTGGTTCTCAATCCACAGTTTGTGCATGGATTGAGAAGCATACTATGTGACCCAAGCTCAGAGAAGGTACTAATTGCCCAAGTATATGTGTGTTTGATTTCTTTTTATTTAAATGAACCAAGATATTGCTCTAACCAACTTTAATGTTTGATGTTATCCAGGAATTCATTGCAAAAGCAATTACTCTGCCCGGCGAAGCGGAGATCATGGACATGATGGAAGTTGCAGATCCTGATGCTGTTCATGCAGTCCGCACTTACATTAAAAATCAGCTTGCTTCTGAATTAAAAGAAGAGTTTCTCAGCACGGTATAATATCTCTTAGGAGTTGAGAAACATACTTTCTGTCAGTATTTGTCTTCTTTCTTATTTTTGGTTTAGAAATTAAGCCCGCTTACTTCGCAGGTCAACAAACATCGGAGCTCAGAGCCATATGAGTTTAACCATACTGATATGGCAAGGCGTGCTCTTAAAAATATTGTGCTTGGTCTGTGATCTAAATGATCGTTTGTTTAATAGATTCATGTTTAGAATTTGCTTCACAACTTTTAACACCCAAAAAAGAAACTTTGATTTACTAATTTTAATCATGTTATTCATGTATCTTCAGAATATCTTGCATCACTTGAAGATCCAGAACTCATGGAGCTTGCATTGCAAGAATACAGGACCGCCACCAACATGACTGAACAATTTGCAGCTCTAGCAGCTATAGCTCAGAAACCTGGTAAAACTCGGGATGATGTTCTTGCTGACTTCTATAGCAAGTGGCAGCATGACTTCTTGGTAATCCTCTACTTTATTGTTGTTCCATGGCTGCACTCAAATTTTCATTTGTTAACTACCACTATTACAGAAAAAGAGAGTGGATGTATGTGTTGGCTATTAACAGTGTTTCTTTAGAAGCAATATTTTAGGAAGGAAAACATATGAATATATGTTGTATTAATCTAGTGTAAATTTCCACAATTATCAAAAGATGTGTTAAAGCATCGGTTCATACAGTTTCATTGAAGTCATGCAGTGCCTTGTCCCTTGTTCATCTATTTATTTATGTTTTCTGGGTTTTTTTGGGGTTTAGGTGGGGAGAGCCCCTTGAGCCGTGAAAAGGTACCGGGAAGATTTTACACTGTTCTTTTACTTACAACATTTCAATTTCAGTTTTTGGTTTGGGTGGTAGGATTGCATGGTTTTTGCCTTCACCTTCTGAACCACAGTCTGCAACTTCTTGGCATCATTATCACTTAAACTGGTTCCATACAACCCTCAAATGAAACTGAGAAAGTGATTCCTGGATTGACCTTTAAACCAGTCCTATGTTCCAGTTTGAGGAAAGTATAGGTCACCATTTTTGTAGCGACATATTGATTTCAACATTGGGCTAATTCAAGAAGATTTGGCATGCAAGAGAAGACATCATTAAAAGAAAGTCCTTTTAGATATAGTTAAAAAGCAATGGACGAATATTCTCTAATATACAGTAGAACTAGCTTTTTGGATTCATTGCCCTGCTGTCCCATTAATTTATTCTATTTGTTCATCATGAGTGCGGTAAAGTATCTATTTTTATGGTAGTGTACTAGTATTATTCTTACCAGGCCTAGACAACTAAGATCAATGGATTTCCATTTGCTGTCCGCAGTATTTCTAGTTTACCAAATATCTTATTGCTTTTAACGTAAGTCACATTATCAGTACACTCGGGACGCTTCTTTGGCATTCAAGCCACCAATTAGTGTTCCGAGCACGGATTGGTGCGCGCGGATTCGTTTTAGTGATACTGTATTCAGTTATTTTCCTCTTTTGCATACCTAATTCTTTATTATTTGGAGATGGACATTTCGGATTCAAATAGTTTTGTTGTCCGGAAGAATATAATTTTGAAAGAGTGAATTAGGGTGTCAACTTCAATTTCGATAACTGATTTGTTACCCCTTTAGCTCGTTGGCATGACTATGGCATGCGGGTGCCTCCCCAAAAGTGCCGCATGCCTTAGGCAAATTGGGGTGTGCTTGGCCAAGTACCCTTTTTGTGCAAAGTTGGCTCCCCATGGCTTGGCACCAGATAAGACAAATCAGATGTTGTGGGCTCACAAGGAAGACAAGTGCACGTCATTTGAGGCGGTTATGAGTAGTTGGTGGCATGTGCACAGCAGGTGAGGCGGTTCTGTGCAGTTGCTGGTATGTGCACAACATGAGGGAAAGTTGCTGACATGTGCACACAATATGCAAACAGTTCTGAGCAGTTGTTGACTGAGTCAAACAGTTGTAATTGTGCAACCATGTTTAGTAGAAACAACCATGATCAGTTGCCGATGCTTAGCATTCAACATATTTGTAGGCAGTGGCAGAGGCACCACAATCCTTGAGGGCGAATCTAATTGGCGTCTACATTGCCTAGGCGGTTGTGCTTTGAAACTGCCATTGTGTGCTATTTATATGCATGCTGGGGTTTGCAGTGAACCAAGAGAGTTTGGACACATTTTGTAAGTAGATCCCTAACCGGTTTCCTTTAAGTTTGCTGAGAAGTAAAAAGGTTTGGCCCATTGGCCTGTAATCTTGTGTGCTTGCTGTGAGTTTGTTTCTTGCCCCTATTCTGTTCGTTTGTGTGCTTCTGTGAGCGTTTGTGTGCATTGACTGAGACTGAGTATTGGATCTTAGTGCCAACAAGAGGCAAAAATTCAAGTGAAAATTTGACCCCCGTGCAATTCATTGGTGTGTATTGTGATCTTTCCTTGTGCGTGTTGTGGTCTTTGCAAATAGACTTAAGACAATGACTGAGGATGTGATTGCCTCGCCTCCCCTCTTGCACTGGTTTGCGCTGTGACTTAGCTTTTAATCGCCCTTGATTAACATGTAGTAGTAGACTTTTATTTTCACGGGTCGTGAGTCATATCATTAAACACACAAGAATGTCCCATTTCACGGATATTTGGTTTTTCTGGAATTCAAACAAGGTAATTTGCAATAATTTTTTTTCGTTGTTTAAAATTTCTTTTTCCAGGTGGTGAACAAATGGTTTGCCCTTCAAGCTACTTCAGACATATCTGGGAATGTTGTCAACGTTCAGAACCTCGTAAATCATCCAGCATTTGACCTGCGCAATCCAAATAAGGTGGATGGTCTTTCTATCCCGCCACACACATGCTGTTGAAAAAAATTAATGGGATGAAAGTGTTTCTTTCAATTTAGTTGGGAAACATGATGTTCGTCTTGTAATCTCTCTGTGACACAGGTGTATTCGCTGATTAGAGGATTTTGTGGGTCGCCTGTTAATTTCCGCACAAAAGATGGGTCAGGCTACAGATTCTTAGGAGAAATGGTGGTAAAGCTTGACAAACTGAATCCGCAGGTCTATTCATGAAGAAATATCTACTATCAATTATAATTTTCTTCTGTTTCATTTGTTTTTTTGATTTTTCAACCTTTTTGTTTAAATCTCTCCTCATGGCTTGCAGGTTGCCTCTCGCATGGTGTCAGAATTCTCGAGATGGAAGTGTTATGATGAAACCCGGCTAGGCCTTGCCAAGGTATTTAGCTGTTTCATCAATTCTGAATTTTTCATCTTGTTTTCAGCATTCTAAAAGTGACTGGATTACATTTTTTACAGGTACAGCTGGAGATGATCATGTCTACCAATAGACTCTCGCAGAACGTTTTCGAGATTGCCTCGAAAAGCTTGGCTGCTTAATTTTTTCCCCTTGTTTTTGAGGGAAACCTGCCGTTTATATTTCTTAAACAAATGAAAAATCTTAGAAAATCATATGCTGTGACCACGATAAAAACATGTCTAGCTCAATAAACTGATAGAATGACAATGATGTGAAAGTTCCATTTTCCATAATGCAGTGAAGTTTTTATGGTTGAAAAGTGATCTTGTCTGTTCTGGGAATCTGGTTATTGGTTGTTGTTTGTTCTTTAATTAATCTGAATAGCTTCTTTGAATGTCCCATTGATTGACTACTACTTCTAGGGACGGGATTGATTTTAAAAGAGTTGTCTTTCTTTCTGATTATGATATTGGTTAGATTGAAAAGTAAGTTGATAATGTGAAAAATCAAATGGCGGGTGAGGCAAGAGTCCTTCATTGTGCTCACCGGAGAGAAGGGATCATCTCCAATTTAGTACTGAAGTCCTATCCTCTGATTAGTAGTTGAAGTGTAGGCTAGGTCATTAAGGAAAAAACTTGGACATGTATAGATTTGCTAAGTGAACGAGATTGAAAGCGTTTTATCGACTTTTTAGTTTTAGTTAAAAATAGATTGAGGTCGAGAGATTAGGTGAAGTTTTATAAAAACAATAATTATATTTTTGATTAATTTTATTTTTGAATAGTTTCTTTAACGACCATAACATAAAGTAAAGAATAAACAATACTAAGATTTGAATCTCAATCTTACGCCAACTTTTAGAAGAAGTGCAGAAGTACGACCGGCATGGTAATATATTTAAATGAACATGTACTGTGACACACAACACCAATGATGGTCCAAAGCACTAATAATTGTTAATTTTGTATTAATTTTCGTTGTCATAAAATTAAACAACTGTCCATTCCATTGGGACAAGTATGGGGTAGGGAAATAAAATTGGTACAAATATTTTATTATTTTTTGTGAGTAAGATATTTAACATTTTTAAAATCAATTGCAAGGACTAAAAAAGTGGTAAAAATAGTTACCACAACAATGATAAACAAACTTACAAAAATGGTAAATCATCCATAAAAATAATATATATATTTTTTTGTTAAAAATGACCTATAAAAATATCCATTAAAATAGAAAAATTGATTGTATCGCTACGGCTCTCAATTTTTTTTTGGGTAAGATAGTTAAGTTCATTTAGGGCTTGTTTGGTTGAATATTGAGGAGGAGTTTAAATTAATTTCTCCAAACTTTTCTAAATTCAAACTCTTCTTTATAAAAATGAGATTCAACATTCAATTCGGTTCATATCCATGTTTGGTATGCAATACATACACATGTAGGACCCGCGGATATATCATAATTATTAACAACTATTTATCCTATAAATGACTATTTTACTCTTGATCAATCTAATTCATACTCATGTTAGGGGATATAACTATCTTTTGTATCTTTAATCCCTTACGCATCTTCCCAAACCCACCCTCTCCCTAAGTTTGACGAAGCCTATGATCATGAGTTTAATTTTCGGGTTAGTTACAGGCCAATTTTGAAAATCAGAGATTGAATTTTTCAAACAAACATAAGATTTGAAAAAACTTTAAACTATTTTTCCCAAACTCATCTCGTCAAATCCCTCATATTCCCTTACCAAACAACCCCTCATACTCTCTTGCCAAAACAACCCCTCGTATTATTGAAGTTTCTCTACCTGGTTTGGTAGATGCGTCACGTGGATTCTCCTCGTCGTAGACTCTAATTAGGTTAAACAGACCACAGGAATACTGGTTGTTTTTGGTGCATAATGAAATTCGTGTTGAATTTTTAAAAAAAATGTATTAAAAGATGGTGGTTTCACTTCATTGAAATGTTATGGTAGTAATGATTGAAGCGTTTGAACTTTTAATCATTTTAAATCACACTTAGGGAATTGTTTGTGCCCAAAAGGTTCATAGTTTATGGACGCAATCATCTTGTTAGTTTTCACGTTAACTTTAAATCAATCTACAAAAATCATATGGCAAGGCCCATCAAATAATGTTACATTCCATACATATATCTTTTCTGATGCCTAAAAAGAGGACATGTGGGTCTGCTGCTGGGTGGGACCAGGGGCAGGGCCAGGACAATGACCAGATTCAAGCCACCCCCATAAGCCTAGAACTGGTGTGTGAATCGTGAAATTTCCAGTTGTGGGCACGTGTCTGGTGGGTCCCAAAAGCTGAAGTTCTTAGTACCTTAAAAGCCTGCTTGATTGATTCATGTAAAAGTTGTAGCATAAAGTAAAATCTTTATAAGCCCCTAGTGTGAATCCTAGTGAAACATCCCCAAAAAAGGTTGAAAGATAAAAAAAGTTAGCAGCTTTAAAAGTTCCTTTTCCTACATGCTGAGATACCTGTACTAGAGGGGAGTCATATTAGCCAATGATACCTATACCAATGATAAGTGTTGTGCATCATGTTTTTTTTTTTTTTTCAATAATCAAGCGTGTTTATAATAATTTATATGTACATTAATTAATTTACTCTTCGATTTAGTTAAATACAAAATTAAATACAAATTATCTTTGTTGAGATTAAGGTATTCATGAGATTGTCAAGACTCAAACTCATGACATCTGAGTTTAAAATTTATCCATATTATAATTGAATTATTCTTTGGGGTTGATGCATCGTGGGTTTATATTCAAGAATCTATATAATAAAGTAGAATAAAATTTAAATTTAAAAAACAAAGAAAAGTCCAGATCGTTTTGAGACAAAACATAAACATATCCAACGGATAATGTAATCCCAATATAAAAGACAGTTTAGATCAATTCAGTGTTATTGATCCGACGATCCTAATTAATCTGCATTCCAACAAAACTCTACTATATTTATTTTATCTCTCCTCATCCCCATTCAAAACATTGAAGAGATGAACTAAGACTCTACTACATTCTTTTTATTTCTCATCATCCCCATTTAAACTATTGGAGAGTTTGACTTAAACAATTATATATCTATCTACACTAACAAGATTAAAGCAATTTCAAATTTCCATAATTAAAATTAATACTCTCAACTTAAAAAAAGAGAAGAACAATTAAGATTTAATTAAAATTTTAATATACGGTTTAGATATCATCAAAATTCATCTAATCTAATCCCACCCAAATACTAAATCCCACCCAATAATTAAAATCCACTACACAAAACCCCAAAAAGTCAATCTATCTCCTCCCCTCTCTCTTTCTCTTTCCCTTGCGACAAACGTTTTCGCCAAAAACCCACACACACACATACAACGACAATCTGTCGCTCTCTTATACGACAGTTTGACTCAACTCACCACTGGCGACGACCACTCACCTAGGTAAGTCTCTCTCTCTCTCTTGCACACACATTCAAACCCATACACACACAGAGAGCATACCTGTACACACATAGTCAATCTTTATGATCTTTCTCACTTTCTATAAACTCTCTTTGTCACTCCTTGATGTAATAGTATCTGTGAACGAGAACCAAGGTTCAACCAGCCTCCCTCCATAGGGATTCCTAAAATGTTGTGTTATTATACTGCATTTTTCTCTTTGAAAGAAAGAAAAATGAAAGTCTTATGTTTTTATTCATTTTTCTTTCAACTCACATGTTTTTTATTGAGTAATGTGTTATTTTTTTAGCGAGTTAAAATTTTAGTAATTGACTTTATATTTATGTTGTATTATTGTGTTGAATGGTGATAAATTACATGTGATGTTGTTTTAAGGTATTTGTATATGTGGTGTTATTTTGATAATTTTTTTTATACATTTTTATGATAGTTTCATTAATATAGAGGATACGATCGATAGTATATTTTAAGTTATCTTAAAAGAAAAATTAGTATGAATATTTTTTAGCCATTCTTTTTAAATATAGGCAACTGGTTATAAATTTTTTTTTGTTACATAGTGCCTTCAGGCACGGGCAACTACATGAGAGAAGACTATTTGTCATTTATTTTAACAAAAATTCACTATAAATGATAGTTTTTTGTACTAAATACAACATTTTTTATTCAAACTCAATTTTTTTTTTTCTAAAACGATGACAAAAATTGCTTACAATTTATATCACCAGATTCATTATAGATGGGATACTTATATATTGGGTATAATTTTTGGTCTGTGTTCAGAAATTAAAATTTTTTAAATTAAAAAAATAAGATTCATTATTTATTTTTTCAAAATTCAGGTTTTGTCTTAGGGAATTTATCGTAATTCACAAAAAGCTAAGAAAAAAAAAAAGGTGATGGAGTCTTCCATTTATGTGTCAAAAGGGTGATTATTGAAAGATGAACCAACCGTGCAAGTTAGTTTAAGTGGCGGGTAAAGGGGGATTATTTTCAGGTGGGCCCAAACTTACGCTAGGGGGTGCGCACGAAAACCATCGAGAAGTGGATGGGCACACACACGTGCACTCATTGACAAAACAAAGAGATTCTCGGAAAACCAACCATAATTAAAAAGCCCCTACTAAACTCCTCCAAAACTTTATTTATTTTACAGTAAATGAAAGGACCAAACTGCCCTCATGACCCACATTAAAACTGTACCGGCTTGTATTGATAACGGTGGTTAGTCTGATAAATGATTCGGACTTTAATTCGGTCCATATTTGAATAATTAGATATGAATTAATTTTTTATATTATTAATTCAAATCTAAGTGAATCTATTGTGTCGTGTTTCATAGATTTAACATTCAAATATACTAATATCGGACTCTATAGTGATTCGAAGATCCCAAAAAATTTAAATACTTGTATAAATATATCTAGATATAAGTTTAGTTTTTTTTTTCGATTCAACAGTTAAGGTTGTTCGAGTTAGATTATGAGTATCTTGACTAATCTCTTATCCGATCCGGCCAAAAACCGATCATTCACGTCAGCATTAAGTATTTATAGAAAAAACCTCTTATAGGCTGAAAATTCGAACTTAAAACATTTAAATATATAATTTATCCCTATTATCACTCGAATTACTCCTTAATATTAGATGTAAGAAGTTCAATTTATTCGAATTAGTTTAAATTTTTCAATCATAATTTTGACTACTCAATGATTTAGATATGACTCATGAAAATAAAATTTATTATATATTTAGATCGAATTCAAATTAAAAATTTTAATTTATATGCAAATTCAAATTTATTTAAGTTTAATTTAAATTGGATCCGTTGAAAGACCTACTTATGTTAGTTAAATGGAAATTTGTTGTGATCAACAAGAAAAAGATTGGTGTGTCATTCAATATGCAAGCAAATTTCCGGTGCGCCTGCCAACTATCTATGACCAAAACCATTCAATTCATCATGAGGCCTTTTTAGTCATTTCAGTCGATACAAAGACATATACTATTCATCCCCTATATATAAACCGTAGCCTAATAGCTCATGTTTCCAACAATCACATTTTAGAGAGATGAAGTCGAGTCATTGCCGTGTTTGACCCAAAAGCCATAGCTTATACAGCCTATATGAATTAGAGAGAGAAAGAGTTGATTTATGTATAATTCGTTGTTCTCACTTTCTTGCTATGCAGTCTTGTTTCGTTTCTCTGAAATTTGATTGATTTCTTCGAGAAAGGTGGATTTCTCGGTGAGATTTGATCGGAAAAGGTGAGATTTGCTGGTTAAAGCAAAAGATTTATTTTGAAGTTTGGTTGATTGTTTGATTGATTGGGCCGGGAAGATGCGAGGAGCGAACGGAGAGATCAGAGGAGGAGTGAACAATACTTTTGACACCATAAACGCGCTGCGAATGCGATCGCTACAGCTGAGAATCGTGTGCCTCAAGCTTCAGTTCAGGTAATTCAGTTCGTTTTATTTGATTCCGACTTAGTTTAATTTCATTCTGATTTGGTAAATCTAATTGTACTATTTGAATTACTTGATTCTTCAATGAACTGTTTTTCAGCTTCGAGATCTAGTAATTTTGTATATTGGTAATTCGGGGATCAGTTACACTTTTTATGTCCTGGTTTGATGCTCAGTGGTTTTGATGTTGTGTTGACCTTTCAATCTGAATTTTGGTCTCTGAAGGTTGACTTCTCATTTCGAGTAAGTATAGGGATTTAGCTTGTGGTTGATTTGAAGTTTCAGTGCTTTGCTTTAGTAGGATGAGATTTGCAGGTTGGCATGTATTCGTAGTTGTGTTAATCGACGGAAAATTGAAGCTTTTTGGGAATTGATGGCTATTTAATTCCTTGATGGAACTTGATCTACTTGATTCTATATGGAAGTTTCTAGTTTCACAATAAAAAAGCGTGATAATTTTCCTACAGCAAGCTCTTCTTCTCATGCCATTGCTAGCTGATTGGCTGTAATGTCATGTTGAAGTTTTTAATTAGCGACTATCATGTGTTTACTGCCAAGCTTAAGCTTGAAATTGAGCTGTTTTTGTCCTGATGAATATGGTCAGAATAATTACCAAAAGATCAATTTCATTTGGATGAGAGAACCTAATGCTTTGCTGACACCAATGCTTTTGAAGTGAGTAAGAAAGTCACGTTTCTAGTGGAGTAATATTTCTCTAGTTCGGGTTGTTCTATACTTTCATCTACAAAAAATATTTGAAATGCCTCCTGTAGATTTCAAAGAATGGAGTCTGTTGTAGAAGGGCATATGATGATTCGATCCCATATTTCTTCTTTTATTTCTACCATAATTGTAGAAGGGCATGCTGTAATGCTTGTTCGATATATTTATGTTTTATGGAAAACTAGCAATTGCATGTTTCTTTAACTGTTCATGGGTACGTTTCCGTTAAACTGAATCAAGACAACAGAATTCGGGAAAGAATTACCATTGGAATTATTCATTCCCAGGTTTATAAAAGATCATTTTAGTGAAATTGAATAAAGGTAGAGATGGGCTTTTGGACGAACTTGGAAAGTTGATAGTTACAATTAGTGCTGAATGGAGTTGCTGGTGGGGATATTGTTATAGCATTTTCCATCAGGTGCCACCTAATGCAGGGGACAATTTTCTCTTGGCAGCCTTCTTTTTTTAATAAATATGGACCTCTTCAGAAAGAAGGGTTCTTTCTTGCATGGGGAGGTCCAACAGTTTTTCACAAATTTGATTCTATGTGATTTCGTTCCAATTTGATGTTATCTTAAGTAATGCAATGTTACATCCATAATAACTTGATCTGTGTATGTTGGTCAACCATCCAAGACAGCTTTTTATGCTTTCTTTCATTTTTTTCAGCTCTGCGTAGTTCCTCTGTTTTCCTTTTTTTTTTGGTTAGTACACATGCACACAAGTAGAGCACTAAATATAGATGTTCCATGCATCATCCAAACAGAGTTATAATAATGAACTACCTACCTACCAAGAAAAAGAAATATAGATTTGCATTTATTTAGAAGTTGGAATGGATATAATAGACTTATTCTGTTGGTTAATATAAAGTTCTATCTGGCAAAAGACAGGTGTTTTTGTGTTTTGAATGTGGATCTTACCTTAATGACTTCACATTGACATCAAGGCACTTTTTAATTGCACTCTTAACTTGCTATTATTTAAGCTGTGCAAATTAAGAGGTGGAGAGAGTCCTTTTGAATTTTTCAAGCCCCTACTAAATTAGTGCTGAAGTGCATCTGAATCATGACCCTTTTGCAATGAGCCAATTCAAATTCTTAAAATAGGTGTTACTTTAAAATTTTGAGTTACCGAGTATTAACCTTGAATTATTCGTATTTTGAAATGAACTACTGTAGTTTTGGTGTAAGAGGTTGCTACTTTAGCATTAGGTCGATATTATATGCTTCTCAATTTGTTGACTTATGAGTTTCGGCCAGATAAGAAGCTGATAAGACGCATGATAAGTTTACATAAGTAACACAGTATGAATCCACCAACTTCTTTCATTCTCTTTTACTTAAAGGTAGGCTTTCAGGTCAAACTTCTTTTTTAGTTAGAGCTACCTATTGTTTGTCATGCTTCCTGTTTTGATTACCCTCATGTTGAGAAAAGGAATAGATGATCAGAGGCCGCAAAACACTGGACGCATGCTCCTACATGCAAGCTTTCACCTCTTTTTCCCCACCCACTATGTCAAAAAAGGATGTTTTTTAAAAAGAAAAGGGAAGGAAGGGAGAAGGGTGGGGGGGGACGAAAAACCAGAAGTCATGTAATTGCACCCTTCCCATTGTTCTAATCTGGTTGGACACTGTGCTGTTCAGTGAATTTTTTATAGGATATTTTGATAAAATGGCAGAAATGGAATTCTTTTGTCTCAAAATCTCAATGATATGCATTACTTAAAATGAAATGAAATTGGTTCTTTAAAGCATTCATTGAAAGCAGACCTGTCCTATCAGATAATAATGGGCAATGAACTTTTTTGTATTTTTTTTGGTTCTAACATGTTGGGCTCACCTTTATCATTGATGTAGCTGCTCTTCTTAATTTCAAAAAAGGTCTACAGTCTCAGTCAAGATAGAAAAAAAAGCTTCAGAAGTAGACATCTGGTGCTTAGCGTATTCTAAATTATGGATGTTGACTTTTAGCTGTGTCAAACAAAATTTGGCTTCTGCACAACTCTCTTGTCGCATTGGGTTCGTTAAGCTTGTATGTTTTTTTGCCTTCCATATGCGAACATAATTCTATTATAATATGCTCTCGTTGTTTAACTTTAGGCAGTTAATATAATGGAAGGCATTGCATTTTTGAAAGCAGTATTTATAGGTGCATAATATCCTACTTTTGTATGATAACCTTTACTCTTTTGTGCTTTCTTCCATATCGTGCACATATGTAATATGCGTGGGAACTGATAGGAAAGTTCTTCAAAGGAATTTATGTAATATGCTTTTACGGAATAACAACTGGGTTTTTACTCTGGATTTCCTATATTTCTCTGTTAATTAAATAACCTTTTAGATATAAAAAGCAATTGTGATGTGTTCCTAATCATAAGGTCTAATGTTATTGTCATAAACTTTGACCACCTGCAGAAGAGGAGATGGGGAAGTTGCTTGAGCATGTACTGGTGTTTTGGATCTCACAAACAAAACAAACGAATTGGGCATGCTGTCCTTGTTCCTGAAACTACAGCCTCAAGAGCAGAGGTTCCTGCAGCTGAAAATCAAGTCCAAGCACCTTCCATAGTACTTCCCTTCATCGTTCCTCCATCCTCTCCTGCATCTTTCCTTCAGTCAGAACCTCCTTCTGCTACCCAATCACCAGCTGGTTTACTCTCCTTCACCGCTATATCTGCCAGCATGTACTCCCCTGGTGGGCCTGCCAACATTTTTGCTATTGGCCCTTATGCCCATGAGACGCAGTTAGTATCACCACCAGTCTTCTCAACTTTCACCACCGAACCATCAACGGCTCCCTTCACTCCTCCTCCTGAATCTGTCCACTTGACTACACCCTCCTCTCCTGAGGTTCCCTTTGCTCGGCTTCTTGATCCTAACAACCAAAATGGTGAAGCTGGTCATAGATACCCTTTAACCCAGTATGAATTTCAATCTTACCAGTTGTACCCTGGAAGCCCAGTTGGCCATTTGATCTCACCTGGCTCAGGCATGTCTGTTTCAGGCACCTCGTCTCCTTTTCTCGACCGTGACTTTGCTCCTGGTCATCCCCACTTCCTTGAGTTCCGAACTGGTGAGCCTCCCAAGCTCCTGAACCTTGACAAGCTGTCCACCCATCAGTGGGGATCACGCCAAGGATCGGGTACTTTGACCCCAGATGCTGTGGGACCTGCATCTCATGATAGTTTCCTTCTGGATCGTCAGAATTCTGATGTTGCTCCACTCACAAATTCATTCAACGGATTGCGAAATGATGAAACTATAATTGATCATAGAGTTTCATTTGAGATAACTTCCGAAGATGTAGTCAGATGCGTGGAAAAGAAGGCGGCAGCATTGCCTAAGGCTGTGTCAGCATCTCTGGAGAATGCAGAACATGCTGCTAAAGGAGTTGAAAATTTGAGTGGCATGGCAAATGGTCAAGAATACCGTGCTGGAGAAACATCGGACGATGCATCAGAGAAAGCTTCTACAGACGGCGAGGATGGGCAGCGACAGAGAAAACATCGGTCACTCACTCTTGGGTCTGTCAAAGAATTCAATTTTGACAACGTGGATGGTGGAAACTCTGATAAGCCTACTAATATTGGCCCGAACTGGTGGGCAAATGAGAAGGCTCTTGGGCAGGAGGGTGTGCCATCTAAGAACTGGTCCTTCTTCCCGATGTTGCAGTCAGGGGTCAGCTAACTGCTATGTGTCCAACTGGTGCTTTCACGCAACATGAAGAGATATTGTGGGCTCGCTTGAATGTTCGGAAGTCTGAACCCAGCCATCAACGACTGTGTCAGAGATCGTGAAACCAAACTGTACAGGTTAGTTGGTTTTGGGTGAAGAGAGTGTTTGCAGAACTGACCCATAGGTGAAGTCTGCTTTTTTGAGACAATTGTTGCTTATTCCCAAAACTTATAAACTACCACCATCTTAAGTATTACCATTGCCTTTCCTTAGAATGTAATAGGATAATAAATAGGATAGTGGTAACAATGATGCTGTTGGACTGCTGATCTTTTAGATGAATTGTTATACTAGTGGAGGTAAGGTGGTTGTTCCCCACCCTGGCCTGAAAAATTTGTGTTGTTCTCTAGTCCAGGATAAAAGGAAGCCAATTGGTGGTGGTGGTGTGTTTTTTTTTGGAAAAGGGGAGGGGGAGGGGGGGGAAGTGGATTGTGTGGGTTTCATTTTGCACTGTTGGTTTGATATAATGCACGTATTGGTGATGACCCGATATCGCTATTTTATTTGATAATTACTTGTATATTATAATGTTCTCACAGTTGTGACATCTCTACCATCCAAGCGAGATATATATATTGACTAAAGAGTTGTTTGGACGTATCCAGAATTAATTTTGTTCGTGTCTTACCTCGGTTGACCATCTAAATTTATTGGAATTCCTGTATTTCATTATTTTCTATATTAATTTCGTACATAGACTTGCACCAACTTGAACAAAGACGATTATAACAAACACAAAATAAACTTAAAACAGAGCAGTAGCATATGGCAAACACGCCTTTATCAGCCAAACAACCACCACGTTCAGACGATTAGGCCGGTTACCTAAATTTATCAAGTCCAATAGCTGTTCATTAGTCCCAATTGGAGTTTCCAATTTTCAGGTGTAAGTCAGTCCATCCTTCGAACACAGTCATTTTTTTTTTCAAGCTCAATTTAAAACAATAAAAAGATATCTTATATATTTCTAAAGTAGTTCTTTAGTTTATTCAAACTTTTTGTTTAAGTTAAATTGAGTATGTTGCAACAAACATATCAATATAGTTTTTTTTTAAAAAAAAATTAAAAAGCTTAAATGACCTAAAATACTTATAATTACTCAAATTTGAAAAAAAAATTTAATTTAGTATAAAAAATTCTATTGGCAAACTCAAATTTAAATAGGGTAAAATATAATGAATTTTGGTTAAAATTTATCCATTAAATATTTAAGACTCTTTCGATTTGAATAAAAAAAATCGAATCCCCTTTCATTTCATATAATTTTTTAGTATAAACTGAAATTTATTTTTATTTAAATTTAATTTGAATTTGAGTTAAAATACAAATAAGGTTCGGAAAGATACGAGCCTACTCTTTGTCAACATGTGTAGCATCCCACCAAAAACCTGGTCCAGCTTGGACTGCTTGAGCGACCCATTACAGACCAACCTTATTGACCACAAACGCTACTTTGACCTTCAAGGAATCCACACCCTCTCAACATTCAACAACCCTGCTCGGTCTCATCCCTTTAAAACCAGTCCTCTCTCCGTCCAGTTGTCTACCTCCACCATACACCACCACCAATCTTCTGTGGCCTTACGAGTGATTGTTTTTCATGTGTTCTTCCTCTACTGCTTCTTGACTTGAATTTCTGGATTTCTTTCCCCTTTGTTTCTGTCTTGCTCATGCTCCAAGATTCGAGTCCTTCTAGGAATACAAATTTTGGGTTTTCAAATTTCTTTCTTCTAATGTCTTTTTAGGGTGTTTGTGGAAGATCAGTTTGTAATTCTGAATTGTCAATGCAAAAAATTGGGGCTTTGGAGAGCTTAAAAATGCCATCTCTTGCAGAATCAAGGCCTGTTTCAAATGGGTTTCACTTGAACAAACCAGACCCAAACTCTAGCGTAGTCAAAATCGACGTGGGTGGTCAGCTCTTTCAAACCACCAAACAAACCCTAACCCTAGCCGGCTCCAAATCCCTCTTTTCTGGGGTTTCAAGTTCTGATCAATATGTACCATTCATTGACAGAGACCCTGAATTGTTCTCTATCCTTCTCTCTCTCCTCAGAACTGGTCACCTTCCTTCAAAAGCAAAAGCGTTCGATCTTCAAGACCTAATATTTGAAGCCCAATTCTATGGAATTGAAAGCTTCCTTGTGAATTCTGTATCAAACCCATCTCATTTCGAAGCTTTTAACATTGAAAAATCATTGATTTTGCCGTTAACTGGCCGGGACTCGCCCTCGGCGATCTCAACCACACTGTTGGGGTCAGTTCATGTTGCCCACGGTTGCAAAATCACATCTTTTGATTGGTCATTGCAAGGAAAATCCACCATTTTAACCCAATTCACTGCTGTTGATTCACTATCAGCCATATCGCCGAACATAGTGGCTGCTGGTGCCAGAGATTTTTCAGGGTTACAGATTATTGATCTTGACAACGGTTTTGTTAGGGAGACGTTGAACTGGGAGAATGTGACTAGGTCTAGTTCAACAGTACAGGCAATTGGATCAAATTCTGAGTTTTTGTTCACTAGTTTTGAGTCGGGTCGGAGAAATTCGAATTCAATTTTGGTTTATGATCTTCAGGGTAGTTTTCGCCAGGTTACTGAGATTGGTCATAATGAAATTTTTGGTGCTGATCTTTGTTCCGCAATTCCAGCTACAAAATTGAATTGGGTTTCGAGTCACAACTTGTTAATGGCCTCTGGGTCTCATAGTGGACCATCTGGAGTATTGGGGAATATAAAATTTTGGGATATAAGGTCTGGAAATATAGTTTGGGAACTGAAGGAAAAAGTTGATTGCTTTTCTGATGTTGCTGTTTCAGATAGTCTTTCAGCAATATTCAAGGTTGGTTTGAATTCGGGTGAGTTGTTCTTTGCTGATTTGAGGAATATTGGTGCTGAAAACTCGTGGGTTTGCCTTGGTGATAAAAGAAAGGTGATAAATGGGAAGAAGGAGGGTTTTGGATGTAAGATTGAAAGCCATGGAAGTCAAGTGTTTTGCAGCAAAGGAGGAGATTTAGAGTTGTGGTCAGAGGTTCTCATAGGTGCTTCAAGCAAGGTTGAAGGTAGGTTAGAAGATAGGATCTTTAGAAAGAGTTTGATGGGGAGAGCAAAGGATATGGGAGGTAACAGGATAACCCACTTAGGATTTGGAGGGAACAAAATGTTCGTGACAAGGAAGGATCAACAATTTGTTGAGGTTTGGCAAAGTTCAGTAAGGGGATTTTGATCTCAAATGCTTTTAGTTAGGATTTGCTATGTATAAAGTTATATATCCTGATAGAACTCAGTTTTACTGTTGATAGTTTCCTTGACTTTGATTTATTTGTAAATGACTTCATATAAATTGTATCTGATCTTGCCCTTTTGCCGATGTTTTAAGTTACATGAGATTAATGAAGATCATGAATTATTGTTCTTTCATATTTCCCTTTCACTGCAATTGATTTTTTTCTTTTTTTGTAACCTATGAAGTGAGTTTTTAAGATCATGAATTGCTGATGATTTTTGCTTTTTGGGAATGATATCCGTAGGGTTTTATTAGTGTGAGGATCTTGAATTACCTGGTACTCGTATGTATGATGACCACAGCCATACGCAACAAGTGGTGTCTGTTTGCATACCTTTCTCGGCCTTTTGGCTAAGATCAAGTATCTGTATGCCATGAGACAGATAGAGAAAACATACACAACAATTCAGAGGAAGAGATTGCACTGCCTGCATCAGAAACTTTGTAAAATAAGACATTTCATAGGATTACCACAAAAAAATGTTGTAGTTATATGAATTGTCCTTCCAATTGGATTATTTGGTGGTGCCGTAAGACCATTTAGAAAATCTTACTTTATTTCATAGTGAGTTCAAATTTTGATATATTGATATGATAGTCGCTTAATTTGATGGGTATTGCCTTGCTAATTGAGAGACATATTGCCTTGCTAATTGAGTGTCTCTTCGGAGATTGTGATTCATTTGACAGAGTTTGGTGCGGGGATTCACATTTTAACTGATTGATGAATGATGAGAGAAGTCGGGCTTTACCCGTGTATGTGTTTGTTCATATAGGTGGTGTTTATGTTGAGTTAGGTCATAATGCTTCTAGATCAGCCTCACCTCAAGTGAAAATATTGGGTTTTCTGGAACTCCAATTGGGGTTCTATTTGGATTTTCTGCCTGCAATGCTAATTGGTGTTCTTTGTGCAGGCCATAAATCTTCTATGTTACTTCTAGGACGAAGCCAAGCCGATACATTAAGGGGGCGAAGGGCGCGAGGTAAGTGGGCGCCATCCCAATGTTCCTAAGTGTGCAGTATATGGACCCTACCCCAATAAGTCTAGCTCCCTAATTGAAGTTTTGGCTTATAGAGAAGCGGCATATCAAATTGGTATGATATATTCATATCATAGTGTATGGAACGGGAAAATTAGGGCCCTCTTTGTTTGGTTTGCGTATCAAAAAATAATTCGAAAATTGTTTTTGGCCTTTTTTGTGTCGCAGAACTTATATTCCAAATATAATTTTACGAAATAAAAAACAGTAAAACTTGTTTGGACAGTTATCTATAAAACAATGAAAACAGAAATTTAGTGGTAGTCAAGGTGGTGGTGGTGTGATGGACGTGGTGTTATGGTGATGGTGGTGGTATTTTTTAAATTTTGGAACTGTTGTTTTTAAAAACACACAAAACAGTTCTAATATGTTCTCTAAATCTACTCAATTTTCAAAAAACAAAAACAAAAAACAACCGGCTAAACTGTTTTTTTCCCATAAATTGATTCCAAAAGTAGAATTGTGATTTCCAGGAATGGAATTCAGTAGCTGAAGTTATGCATCTGCAGATCTCCCATTTTCAAATGGGAACATGGGCCATGCTGAACATCTTTAAGAGACCCATAAAAGGATCTAACCCTCCTTGGGAAAAATGAAATCTTCAGCTACTTGTGTAAAAACTGCTATGTCTAACATCAAATTTGGAATGATCATGTCCACACGGTTTGTAGTTTGTACACCACTTTTCAACAGTACTTGACTTTTTATCAGCCATGATCAAGTGCTCAAACCCCACACGGCATGTTTGTAGAAAATGGTTTATGTATTCATGATACTTAATAAAAAAGCAAGGTTTGGGGGTTGGGCTGTCTTTGTGATATTGTGACTCAATTCCAAAAATTTCTATTCTAAGAGTCATCATCAATAATGATACATTATCAATTAAAGAGTTCAACCAAGATCGTTAACTACCAATTCTCATACCATTCTTGGAGAAGAGATGATGGGACATTTCTGAAAGAAAATAGATCGGCGACACATGTCCTCGACATCATTATGTTCTCAGTCAGGTATGGTCACGTGTCCTCGGTAATGCTCATCCCCATCTGCCGAGACGATAATGCTCGGAGCTGAGGGATTCCCAATTGGCGTGATTGACACAAATGTCCTCGGTTCGGTGAAAATCTTTTATCTCGAAGTAGACAAATATTCCTCGGTGTCGAGGTGTTCCTTCTGTATTCTGGATCCCACCTCTCCTCTGTTTCTATAAAAACTAATGATTGACAGATGACTAGCCTAGGCTAGCCTCATGAAGACGCTCTGCTCCATGGTGTCAGGAGACGTAGGAATGTAGAACATAGAGCCAAGGAGGGGTGGGCACGTGGAATGTGATATCAAATCAATAACAAAAAGACCTGGATACCCCTGTTGACACATGTCTAGAGCAAGTAAGCATTTAATGAATCCTCCTTCTGATGAGACAACAATTAAGGCATGAGGGTCGAGAAGTGAAGTGCATTAAAGATTCTCATACCTGAGCATTTAATGCATCCTCACCGAGAAGGGGGAAATTAAATACTTGACAGACCGAGGAGTAAGTTTTAAATGTTTGGCATCCCGATCAGTTAAAGCCAAGCCCATTCCCCATAAAGGTGAGGGGCACGTTACCCCATCTCTGACAAATACCTATTGAATGGACTATCAACAATCGTAAGCTTTTAAAGGTATAAATAGTTATCAAAAACGTATTGTAAAGGTATGCAAGAACTTTTAAAAAGAATTATACAGTGCTTTCTTCTTTCCCTCTCTCAAAGAACTGATTTGATCGTCGGAGGGGATATGTCGGAGAGCACTTTGACATTCTTCTAACTTGTTTTTTTGTGTCACAGGATCCTCCAGAGTCTTCTAGGATCGGTAAGGTGACCCAACAAACAAGTCATCACCAGTCCTTAGTGCCCCTCTCAACCTACTTCTTGTTGTCAAAACCCATTTTCGAATGAGTCAAATTTCAGCCAGAAACGATCAGGAATTTTGAAAGCAAACCTTTAGTTCTATCAGAATTATTATCTTGTCGAACCACAGTTCATTGTGGGAGAGATCTATTTCTACTTTTATTATTGTACAAAAATCGACACGCACAAGAGATATATTATATTAAAAAAATTAAAAGATATATTAGAAAGAGTATAAATTTTTAGATGGATGGGTGACAAAATCATTGAACTAAAGACAAGAATATGACCACAGAAGGTGGTCTAGTAATAAAGCATATCCGTCTTAGCGTTGTACTTGACTCTCGTGAGGTTAGTAAGTAGGATTTGATTTGTGGGGTTCTTGCTACTTAAGCATCGGTCGTGGTGAGGTGATGAACTACTCCAAAAAAATTTGTATCTATAATTAACCGAATATTTCACATCGAGAAGGCCCACGGTCACACCCAAGAGGGTCACTAGCTACTACTTGTCCCTCTCTCCCATTTTTATCTGTTAAAAAAAAAACAAGAATATGGTATGAAACAAAAAAATTTAGTATTGTATCGTCAAAATTTACAAATTTTGTTATTTAAAATATAAGTTTTTAGGTTTGTTTAGGACAAAAAAAAATAAAATTTTTACGTCATATTACAACTTTTATTGTTCAAATTATAACTTTTGTGAGTCATTTATAATTTTTGTATGTTATTTAGAATCAATCTTAAAATTTTTAGGATCGATAAAAAATGACCTCAAAAATTGTAAATATTTGATAAAAAATGTAACTTAAACCATAAAAATTATAATATTACCTCAAAAGCGATAAATAATACTTAAAAATTAATCACAAAATTTATAATAACGATATAATACCGAATTTTTTTTGAGCACCCTGGCATTACATCCTACATTAACGATCTTAGAATCCGCACTAGCCGTCATACGCATCTAACGATGTATTCATAGTATTGGAATTTGTTGACCTATATTGGACCAACTGCAAAACAAAAGAGTAAAATACTTCCACCATGAGCATAGAAAAATATTAAATTTGATTTCGAGTCGAATACTCGAGAAAGGCATAAAGTTTGGTACGAATATGGCACCAAAGTGTTTATTCTTTTGGTGTTGTCACAATAAAATAACATACCAAGACTAAAACTTAAGTATCAATCATCATATATATATATATGTGTAAATCCTTTGACGGGGATTGCTTGTGAAGGCTTGAGACAATGAAGGTACTTTGTATAAAACGACAACGTCGGCGGATTGCTTTCATTTAAGCGTTGGGAGGTTGCTCACCGAACCCCAACCGGCCACATGACAACAAAACGGAACAGACCGATATCTATGACCGGTTTTCTCTCTTCTCACCTGATAACCCACTAACCCAGTCGTAGTTTCGTCTATAATTTTCTCAACTAATCTCATTTACTTGCACTCCTCCCTTTCTTTCCTCTTCATTCAATGCTTCACTTTAAGTTTGGAGCTCTTTCCAGCCAAATTAGGTGAGCACTTCGAGAGAGAGAAACAAAACCATAGACATATACACATGTATAGAGAGAGAGAGAGGGGGCGAGGGAGAGGGAGGGGTAGTGGGAGAAGACTGTATGTGGGTTTAGTGTCAAAGTGGGTTATACTTTACAGATTGGAATGGGTGTGTGTCTGTGTGGCTGTGGCTGTGGCTGTTAATGGGTTGTCTAATTTGCTATCCAACGACCTTTGGTAGCATTTAATGGCGGTTCTTTAAAGCTGCTTAGTGTGGTCTGTAGAAGAGAGAGGTAGACATAGAGATTGAGAAAGAGAAAACTTTTGGAGCGAGAAATGTGTGTCCCTATACTGAATTTCAACTACAGTTCGGCCCACCCATTTATTGCCACTCTTTTGGTTTTCGTCTATAAATCACTATTCCCTTATCATCTCGGTTATTATCAGTCCTCTTTCTCTGTCTCTCTCTCTCTGCAACTACTTTTTCTTCCATTTTCCTTGTGTTTTCTCTCACATTGTTGAATTCTTAGATTTCTGTGCAACAAGATACATATACATCATGAATCTCAGCGATATTTCGGATCTGGGATTTCATTCTTAAACCCTTTTTCAGAGTCTCAAGTTCAAAATTCACAGCTTCAACGGCTATATTTACTGGTAAGCATCACATTCTGCATTCTGGTTTTGTTTTTGTATCTCTGCCAAGTGATATTCAGGCGAGTCATTAGAGAGGAAGGTGGCTTTACGGTGTTTCGTGTGCATTTAGATCATTTTACAACTGGTTTTACTTAAGTGGGATCTACAGATCACATGGATATGTCAACGGGCATAATGCTCTTGTCATTTGTCGTGGCTTATATGCTATGGTTTAATACCATCACGAGGTCTTTGAGTGGTTCAAAGGGTCCACGTGTCTGGCCCTTATTGGGTAGCATGCCGGGCCTAATCAAGAACGCCAATCGCATGCATGACTGGATCGCCGCAAACCTTCAAGCGTGTGGCGGCACGTACCAGACTTGCATATGTGCAATTCCATTTTTAGCCCGGAAGCAAGGTCTCGTGACTGTCACGTGCGATCCCAAGAACCTTGAACACATATTGAAGTTGAGGTTTGATAATTATCCGAAGGGTCCCACCTGGCAAGCCGTGTTCCATGATCTGCTTGGTGAGGGGATCTTCAATTCTGATGGTGACACGTGGCTGTTTCAAAGAAAGACTGCCGCACTGGAATTCACCACCCGGACGCTTCGACAAGCCATGGCGAGGTGGGTGAGCCGAGCCATCAAGAACAGGTTCTGTCCCATTCTCAAAACGGCTCAATTGGAAGCCAAGCCGGTTGATCTTCAAGACCTCTTGCTTCGGCTCACTTTCGATAACATTTGCGGCTTGGCTTTTGGTAAAGATCCACATACTCTCTCGGCCGGGCTACCTGAGAATAGCTTTGCCTCAGCTTTCGACCGAGCCACCGAAGCTACATTGCAACGTTTTATTTTGCCCGAGTTTATTTGGAAGCTGAAAAAATGGCTTCGGCTTGGAATGGAGGTCAGCTTGAGCCAAAGCATGAAACACGTGGACGATTATATGACAAATGTCATCGATACACGTAAGCTCGAGTTGCTGACTCGGCAGAACGGTGGGACACCACATGATGATTTGCTCTCTAGGTTCATGAAGAAAAAAGAGTCCTACTCGAACACGTTCTTGCAACAGGTGGCACTCAATTTCATTTTAGCTGGACGTGACACTTCATCAGTCGCATTGAGCTGGTTTTTCTGGTTGGTCACTAAAAACCCAAGAGCGGAAGAGAAAATCTTGAAAGAAATATGCACCGTTCTGATAGAGACACGTGGTGACAACGACACCTCTAAGTGGCTTGATGATCCTTTAGTGTTTGAAGAAATTGACCGATTGATATACCTTAAGGCAGCATTATCGGAGGCCCTTAGACTATATCCATCAGTGCCAGAAGACTCAAAGCATGTCATCACTGACGACGTATTGCCGGATGGTACATTTGTACCCGCGGGCTCGAGCATCACCTATTCGATATATTCGACCGGCCGAATGAAGTACATTTGGGGTGAAGATTGCCTGGAGTTTAAGCCCGAAAGATGGTTATCAAAAGATGGCAAAAAATTTGATCTTCAAGATTCATTCAAATTCGTGTCATTCAATGCCGGTCCCCGGATTTGTTTGGGTAAGGACTTAGCTTACTTGCAAATGAAGTCGATAGCAGCGGCGGTGTTACTCCGCCACCGGCTCACGGTGGTGCCAGGCCACCAAGTGGAGCAAAAGATGTCACTGACATTGTTCATGAAGTATGGACTTAAGGTAAATGTGCACCCTAGAGACTTGTCCACCATATTGGCTAAAATTGGCAATGGAAGTAACATGGGTGATAAGGAGAGCCTCAGTAACGGTAACTGCCATGCATGGACAGTTTGAAATGGTCAATGGATTGCTTAAGGGTTGCTTATGATCAATACGATGCATATTATAACTATATATGATAAGAGTCGCTGTTGCTGTGATGATTCTTTGACAGGCACCTTCATCACCACTTGATGAAGTCAAGTATGGCTGATTTCGTATGGTTGTCAGAGATTTATTAGGGTGGTCGTCACAACCTATCATCATTGGCCAGTTTGCATTTCCCTAATCTATATACTGCTATTTTAAAACGGTTTTACCAATGTCCCAGATGAAGATGGAGCTTGAAGGTGACAATAATGACTATATTTTACATGTAACATTTTCTTCTTTTTTTTTCCATTGTCTTATTGGAGAACAGCATATATATATATATATAAATGTAATGCTCTGATTGAAGTGGCAAATAAAATGCGAAATTTTACAGAATCTGCAAATATTAAAAACAAGCTAAAGTATAAAAATATGATAAATTTCTTCTTCTTTTTGGTTCAATGATCAAGAATGTTCGGACAAACTCACGTGTACCTCGATTAATCCCCTCTTCAGTTTGGTCAAAGATAGGTTATCCACGCTAAAGTAATCTGCAAATATTAAAAACAACAAGCTAAAATATAAAAATATGATAAATTTCTTCTTCTTTTTGGTTCAATGATCAAGAATGTTCGGACAAACTCACGTGTACCTCGATTAATCCCCTCTTCAGTTTGGTCAAAGATAGGTTATTCACGCTGAGACTAGAATATTTATGAAGGATAAATCTCTCATGGTTTAACCGCAGAAATGAACCTAGACAATTCGGAGCCTAAAGTGACAAATATAAATGAGATTTTTTTACTTTCTAACATTAATAAAAAGTCATCTAAAATGTGTTCTTTTCACTTTTTGTGATGTAAAAATACTAGTTAAATTTTTACGAAGAGGTTTTTTTTAATATAATTGCTAATTTATTTAATTTTTCTTCTGATATAATCGATCTTAAATAAAATTTTAGTAATTTTATTTTAAACAATTTTCTTCTGTAGAAGTAGTTGTTATAAAAATTGTCAATAATATTTGGCAAATAATGAATGCATTTGAAAAAGAAATTAATCTTTTTATATAATTTAATATCTCAATTAGAATATTTTTTGCGGACTTAATTTTTTGGGTTTTTGTAAGAGCATCTCCAACCACATTTAACAAAATAGTTATTCAAAATATATTTAAATATTGAATTCACTACTTTAGCTAGTTACTTTTTAAAATGCACTCCAATCACACGCTCTATTTTATCTGACTACTTTAACTAACTTTCAATAATATAATTCAAAAATGACACGTGACATAACACGTAAGCGTTATAATGACGACGTGTCGTGCCACGTCATCAAATTTTAAATTTTATTAAACAACAGTCTCGCAAACCCAGAATTCAAAGAACCCATCAAACAACAGTCACGCAAGAAAATCACAAGAATATTGAAAGCACAGGGCAATAGGGGCAAAAAAATTATCCATAAACCAGTTAAATACATTAATAAATCACCACAATACTCGAAAGATCATATACCAAGAAACAATAAACACAAGTACAAGGCAATAGTTTTAGGAATTTCGCCTTTATATCAAACATATCTCATTGAGGCAATTCATCAAACATATTGTGAATAATGAAAAGAAACACATCTCAAAAAATTGAGCAGAAATGCACTCGATTGAGCAAAAAATTGAGCAGCAACACATCTCAAAAAATTGAGCAAAAATTGAGAATACCAACTCAATTTAAGCCCTTTGTTTGGTTCCCGAAAAAATCAGAAAAGAAGCAAACAAACAACTTTTTTTTCATTTTCTCTCTAGTGCCTAGTAACCAAACACCTTATAAATACATCATGGAAAGCAAAAAACAGATATTAAAAACCCATCTTTGAAACTCCAATACCTAATCTGACTAGGATGAAGGAGAAAATGAAAGGAATCAATTTGTCATTGTGCAGAAATGGAGGGAAGGCAGCAACTGGCGAGCTGACAAGCCCTCACCAGATTTGGCTAGCAGGAATAGCCCTCATTTCTGCACAATGACAAATTGATTCCTATTTTCTCCTTCATCCTAGAGGATTGGTATTGGAGTTTCAAAATGGTGTAGAGGCAGCAGTTGGCGAGCGCGTTGGAGTTGCTCTAAGCCTTGTGTTCTTTTAGATTAAGACTTTTTATTTGAGCTAACTCCATACGTAAATATTTTGGGGTCAGAGTGTTTCAAGGTCATCATGCATGGTATATACATTCACTTTGTGGAGAGAAAAATCTCATATGTTACTCTCTTATTTGCAGCCTCACCTCACCCACACCAGAGTTCATCTCAGTTGTAGGCATCGATCGTTTTTTGTGGTAGGTGTTGACCGTATTGGTAGTGTAGGTTCTTAAATATAAGTCATTATCCATAACGCCTTAAATGGTCATATCTTAAAATTCTAAGTACAATCCTCATTTACTCAATGTGCACTTTGATTTGTGATTGATTGTGATTGTGAGCATACAAAATTAGTGTTTTGGTCTTGAGACTAAAAAATTAAGCAATTAAGAGGGTTCTGCAAAGAAGGTGAATTAATGGTTGTTAACCCACTTTCAGAGTGGAACAAACTTCAAAGTCAAAGAAGTCATTTTGTTTTAGAAAATAATACGAGCAGTGTTATAGAGATTTAATTTGGGGATTAATCATTGAATTAATTTTGAGTTCTAAAGTTAGATAGAATTCGTTTTCAATCTAATGACTATATTCAATTAAGTCCCTAAATTATTTGAACTAATTATTTTGTTTGGAGACTAATCTAGGTGGGCGAAGTTCCAATGCCAAGGTCCAAAACTTTCATGTAGCATGTGACACCCATTGAATTTAGGAAATTAGAGGCATTTTCTTGGTGCCTCTTTGAAGTGACTCACTTTGTTTCATACAAAATCATAATGGAAAATGCTGTTTAGAATTAAAAATGAGTTTCATTTAATAACGAAATTCGCCTTAATCTTAATTGTAGTCTCCAATTAAATCCCTACAATATTGCTCAATCATAATACATATTTAAGTTTGAAATAATCTTTACATGTGGGTTTTGTCAACAACATAAAAGATAGCCACTGAGTTCGAAAGAGTAATCGGAAGTCTAGACACCCTGTAGTAAAAATAATAATAATAATAATAATAATAACAACGTAAAGGAGAAGACAACAATATACTCCCTCCATTCCTAAATATCTATCGTTTTACACAATTTTTTTTGTTCTATAATATTTGTCGTATAATGAAACCAAAACATAATTAATATTTTTTTCTTCCAAATTTACCTTTAATTTTTCAATGCATTAGATTAGGAGGAGACTAAGTGTCTTTCATATTCCTTTCTTTTTCAATACGTATTGAATAAGAGTATTTTAGTCTTGTATAATTATTTTTTACTCATATTAGAGCTATTTAATAGCTTCCTTAATCCCTATGCAAAAACCTTAAACGACAGATATTTAGGAACAGAGAGAGTATATATTTGTTGGTGGGATTTGAATCTTAAGATTCTTGGAGATTGAGACCATTAAACAACTTATACTTATAAATTAGTGCTTATAAATATTGTTACACCAAATGCAATTAATGTGCAAATGAAACCATAGATAGAAAGGGTTATTATCTAGTCTAGTTTTCATTAATTGAGAGTACTCAAAAGAAGCTATTAAATACAAAGCCTTAATTTTTAGCATTATTTGCAAAAAATAATTGCTCTTAATTTTAAGCATCAATTATAGTGGGGATGAGCGTTGGTAGTGATCATGCGCGACAGTAGTGATGATGGGAGACGGTGATTATTGTGGTGGGTAAGGCGACGATCGTAGTGGTGATAGCAACTGTGGATGACAATGATAATGGTGGTGGTGGTAAGGTGGTAGCAACGGCGGTGGTGGGTATGGTAGGGTGGCGATAGTGATTGCGGTGAGGGTGGGGGGTTGGTGGTAGAGGTAATGGTGAGACAGTTTCAAACACTATTTAAAAAAAAAAAACTTATGAAAAATAATTCCTAAAAATACTTTTAAAAAATCACTCTAAATACACCATTAGAGACTTATTTTTTCTATTAAAATTGGGGTATTAATATTAACCGTTAGATTAACATTAAAATAAAATTTAAACGATTTCAACAGCGAATAACAAAAGTCATTTTATTTATCTTTTGAAATTTGAATTGTATTGTACTTTATTATATATATATATATATATATATATATATATATATATATATATATATATATATATATATATATATATATATATATATATATCTGTGTGTGTCTATGTGTATGTGCGCACCACACATCTATCTACACATAAGATCTCAACATTTTTATATCGGGGCCAAAGTTAAAGTTCCACCACGTGCTCTAGATACTGAAGAGTAGGTTTAAACCCATTGAACTATCGTAATTATTAAAACTCAAATTTAAGTATTAAACGAGAAAATTCAAGTTATTAGTGCATATATATATATTCAAAGCTTATCTTGAACCTGGATGAACTTTTATCCCTTCTGATACAGAAAAGACTTTTGTCTTCTACCAAGATATTCTTTTCTTTACTCAGTCTATCTTTGTTAAACCAATATTTGACAAAGTTGATCCAAAGAAGGTTATTTACCACTCTTTGAGTATTCTGAAAATTATCTCTGTAAAAGATTGGGGATCTCACCCTTCTTTGCTCAGAGATCTCTTTGGTCATAAAAGACAGTTTAGTTATTATGACTATAAACAGTCATGGTTCAATATTCTCCTCTATCAGGATGAGCATTCTACTCATTCATGGTTCCTACAATTTAATAAAGATTTCAAAAGTAAGATTTCTTCCTGGTTTAGTCAGTGGTGGATCGTTCATGGCCCCATTGTTGAAATCTTTTCCGTTGATCTCCAAGATCAGATATCTTATTTCTCATCTGCTTATAAACCTAGTAAACATGAGAGTCGGTTTTCCTTTTTACTAATGTTTATTTGCAGGTACAAAGTTCCCTAGATCTACAAATGGTCATGAAAAATTATCAATAACCATGTAACCAGACAAGTTTTTGTCAAATGGTGGTCTAGATTTCAACAAAGTGACATTATCACTCAAGTTCAAAAGGAATTCCCTGTCAAGGTTCCAACCCCAGTAGCAGTTCCTTCATTATGAAACCTAGGTTGAGATGGTACTCTTAAAGGAGTATAGCAAGGTTTACTAATGTGGGAAGAGGAATTATCAATTCCTTTAAGTTTGAATCTATGATCTAATTCTTTAGCAATTTATGTATCTCTATGAGAGATAGAAGAATAAGACTCAGATTTTCTGCCCTCAGAAATCTGAACGTTGCTAGGAACTTGGTTAAATGATCTGCTGGATCTATTGGATCTTGTAGAGTCAAAGGATATTTT